GGATGATTAGTGACTTTGAGCATGTTCTCATATGTCTCTCAGCCTTATGTATGTCCTCTTTCAAAAAGTGTCTATTTAGGTCCGTTGCCCATTTTTTGATTGGGTTGTTTATCTTCCTTTTGTTAAGTTGTATGAGTTCCCTATAAATGTTGGAGATTAAACCTTTATCGGAGATATCATTGGCAAATATGTTCTCCCATGCAGTGGGTTTTCTTGTTGTTTTGTTGATGGTTTCTTTTGCTGTGCAGAAGCTTTTTATTTTGATATAGTCCCATTTGTTTATTTTCCCTTTAGTTTCCATTGCCCTAGGAGCTGTGTCAGTGAAGAAATCCCTTCGGCATATATCTGAGATTTTGCTACCTGTGGATTCCTCTAATAACAGGGATCTTTTTTTAATTTTTATTTTGAGAATACTTTTTTTAAAGCTGGGGACAGTGAAACAGGAAGAGCTTAGGATAAAAGAAGCAACAGAAGAAAGCTTAGGTGGGCTGCTTTGGCTCTCTAGAAATGTTATAGGAAAGAGATGAGCCAAGGTGGGGCTGCTATCAGCTCACTGGAAAGTCAGAGAAATGGGGCCCTTGGAGATAGGTTCAGGGGTTTAGCCTGGGATGAGCTGCCGCTGCTCATTGCTCCCTTGGTTGCAAGTCTCGTGGGGCCCCTTGGATTTAGGAGATGCACACCTGAGAGAGAAGAAAGGCATGGGCATGCTCCCAGGAAGGATGGCACACCTGGCTGCTTTCTTTCCAAGAGCTTGGTCAGGTGACAAGGCTAACTAACCCTGCAGCACTACCCAGAAAGGGGGAGTTCATGCTGGGCCACCAGCTACTACCTGGCCTGCTGGAGCTTCCTCCCTGAGCTCTCTGCCTTGGTGGGAGAAGCACAGGTTTGACATGCAACCTGGAGTTCAGATTAAAGGCAGGGGAGAGTCTTTCCTATTCTGGGCAAGAGTTTCCCCACTCAGGGCATCCTGGCCACCATGGCACCAGGACATGCCTGAGCCCCCTTCTCAGAGGCCTCAGCTCTTGTGCAGCATCCTATGATCTGTGGGAGCCCCAGGTGGGGGAGCACCATGTAGGCTGTCTCAGATTAGGGGTGGGGGTGCTGACCTTAGGCCTCTGTGATCTAGCTTCCTACTTTGCCTGACTCTTCAATTCTGGCACACTTCCTCCTCCTCCATCAGTCCCCTTCCTCCCCCTGGGCCCTTGGTGAGCCGTATCTATTCGTACTTATTGTTGATCCTAATTACACTCAAGTGAAGCAGAACTAGAGCGTTAACTTCTAAGAGATTGACTGTCCGGGGTTTGAACACCGCAACAGCACCTTTGCCTTGTCCCAGGATGTGTGAGGTCACTCTTGCTGTCTTGAGGACTCTCCCGTTCATCCTCAGAAACCCTCATCTCCCCAGGGAGGGAGGGAGCCCTCTGGTTCTTGGGGCACATTGTTTTCTTACAGAGATCTTTTCTGAGCACTTTTTGTGGGTCAGACGGGGTGCCAAGCCCCGGGGCGAAGCGGAGAATGAGACAGACCCCGTGCCTGCTCTCCAGGAGCCCCATCTAGTAGGGCACACAGTGCCCAAGCTGACACTGCAAAGAGAAGAGTCTTGTGGATTGATTAGTGCAGTGAGGGGTGTGAGCAGGGTTGAGAGAGAAAGCAACTCGAGGAACAAGTAGATTGGATGGGGGAGGGCATCTCTAGGCTGAGACTGAGGGTGCAAGAGGGCCAGCTAGCAGGGAGCCTGGGACAGAAAGAATGGGTATGGCCCCTGACCGGTTCCTCCCCCTGCAGGCTCGTGGAGGAGTTCATGCTCTTGGCCAACATGGCAGTGGCCCACAAAATCTATCGCGCCTTCCCCGAGAGGGCACTGCTGCGCCGGCACCCCCCACCCCAAACCAAGATGCTCAATGACCTGGTGGAATTCTGTGACCAGATGGGGCTGCCCATGGACTTCACCTCCTCTGGGGCCCTCAATGTGAGTGCTGGGGGCTGGGAAGTGGGGGGAGGCAGGTAGAGGCCCTGTTTGTGGGGAAGAGGGTGTTGGGGGTGCAGCAGCCTCTGCATCCCACCAGGGTCTGTTCCTCTTCAGCCAGCACTTCCCCTGCAAGGCCCTGGCCCTTGGCTGTGCTTCCCACCAGGACCGGGCAAGGGAAGTCACTTGAGGTTCAGCCATGGCAGGGGTCCTGTAGCCAGGCATAGGCTTGGCTTGGCCCAGAGGCCTTCAGTGGGGACTGGGTCGTTGGAAGCCATAGCATGCCTTTTATGGTAAGTGGTGTCAGGTGTTCCCTGCCTCGAGCTAATCCTCATGGAGCTCAGAACTCCAGTGCCCAGCTCTGATCCCACTGGAGGGAGACTACTTCCACCTGTGCCCAAGCCTAGGGTGGGTGCAGAGGTGCCTTGGGTCAGACAGCTGGAAACAGTCTGTCCAGGCCAGCCAACTCCCAGTGAAAGGACTGATCTCCGATCGGTTGCCCGTGAGGCAGGCCCACCCATGGCCATCTGAGCAGGGTTGGGCCCCTCAGCTAACCCTCCCTCCCTGGAGCCGGCTCTCAGATGCTCTGCGGGTGACAGGGGTCCCAGACCCTCTCCCCAAGCCTGACTGCATATCACATGGGTTTGCTTCTAGAAAAGTCTGACCGAAATATTTGGAGATGACAAGTACTCACTGGCCCGGAAGGAGGTGCTCACCAGCATGTGCTCCCGGCCCATGCAGGTAAGGAGCGGCCTGTCCCCCATCCTCCCCTTCTCCCAGGAGCATCCATGACTTCTGCACATGCAGAGGACTGGGTGGAAGGGTGGCGAAGATGTCCCTAGGCAACACCTGGGACAGATGAGCCCGGAGCTGAGCCTGATTTGCTGCCTCCGGCTCGGTCTTACCTGCTTCACCTGCTCAAGGACAGGTTGACTGGACCTGCTCGAGGGCCCAGTTTGAGCCCTGCTGACCCTTTGTGTGGCCTCTGGGGCTCTGTTCCCTGGCACAGGAAAAGGAGTCACCACAGGGCCTGCACCAAACCTTCAGTGCCAATCCCCAGAGACCAGACCAGGTTGGGGAAGGGAATGGGGGTGGACAGCCCTTGTGGCCAGATGGGGACCCTGGAGGGGAGAAAGTGTTTCCCAAAGCAGCCTGTACAGGGGAGTGGTCAGCCCCCACTGCAGCTTGTGGACTCCAGGGAGACAAGTCTCCTCTCACCAGCCCGGAGAAGAGGGGTCAGACCGGGGCCTGTGTCTGCAGGCAGGATGATGGGCTGGCAGCCTCTCAGTCCTCTGAGGCTGAGCTTCAAACCCTGGAAAGCCCGAGCATCTTGGGAAGGAGCCAGCCCAGTGGACTGTCAAGCCATCAGGAGCTGTGGATGCTGATGGGGCTAGCTCTGGGCTGCAGCCCTTCTGGGGGGCAGTGACAAACCATTTTTCAGGGGCTCAGTCGCTCAGCACTATTCGTTCTTTTCACAAGAATCACATTGCCCCATCTGGCCACAGGTGATTTACTTTCTGGCATCTTATAGGGCTGCCAGGGACGGAGCTGTCAGGGCCTGTTTAGGTCTAGCTGCCCTTACCCTGCCCCACACCAGGCACCTTAAAGCCCACATGGGGCGGTGGGGGAAGTGTACCTATGACCACTGGACTCAACACTACTCTGCCCTCTAATTGCCCATAGGTCACAAGAACTGCCCCCTGGCTGTACCATGCAGGGCCAGTGAGGCCCCCTTTCCCTGACCCTAGAAGGCATCCACATCCAAAGTCAAACCAGCCCTGGAGCTGCATGGAAAGGAGCTCTTTCCTGAGTCACCCAGAGTCTGAAAAAGACTGGACTTCCCCTGGCCTTTCCTCAGAGGCCTGCCTCTGCCTTGGGATCTGATGGCAGGGAGTGACCAGGCAGTCTAGAGTCCCTTTCTCCCAACCTAAAAACTGGCGGGACGGGGGACCGGCAGGAGAGCAGCAGTGAGCATGAAAGTCCTGAGCGAACTGCTGAAACAGGACACGAGGGCTGTTCCAGGGAGGGCTGGTCACTGTGGGAAAGCTACGGTCCCCACCCATCCCACCCTGCCAAGAGACACCTTGCCAGCCAGGAAGGGAGCCACGGCCTTCTGTCCTCTTCACCCCAGCTCATCGGGAACTGGGCCACCTCTGAGAACAAACTGGCTCAGAGTGGAGGCAGCTCCCACCTCCCCCTGTGACTTGCCCCAGACGTAACCCAGGACGCAGCAGGAGCTGGAAAAGAAGCTGAACTGGGGAGCTGAGCAGGTCACCACCAGCTGCGCCCTGGGTTCCAGGGCCTTGTACACAGGAACCGGGGCCGGCTGACCATTTGGCTGAGTAAGCGCATGGAAGGGTGTGAGGGTGAGAGAGTGTGGCAAGCAGCCCGTGAGCGAGCAAGTGAACACACAGGGTGTGACTTTGGCTCCGATGAGGAACCCGCTCATTGGTTCCCAGGCAGCAGCATGTCCTTGTTTCCCAGCCCTGAGAGCTCAGGGACGCGGGGCCAGCAGCTTCAGGCCTGTGGCCAGGGCTCCCAGGACCGCAGGACTGTTCCAGCCTGAGACTATTTGCAGGGCCCCAGAGCAATGCCTGTCCCTTCCTGTACCCCAGTCATAATCCCTGCCCTGCCCAAGGGCCTTTTGAACTCAGACCTGGGTCTTGGCCCCGGGCCAGATTATCAGGGATGAGAAGGGCTGAGGCTGGCGAACTGTTGCCTCCCTTGGCTGGCACACGGTGGAGCGTTGGGGGCAAAGGGTATGGAGCCCCTGACCCAGCCCTGCCC